AACCCTCAAAGAAAGATTATCCCAACCCGATGTATTCTTATTTTTAATCTCGTAAATAATTTCCTTAATCTCTTGTACCGATGTTGGGGATAAAAGGAATGTTTCAGCTACCACAATGTGCTCTAGATATAGAGGTGGGCCAACCTGCGATTTTATTGGAGCTGTGACAAGACGTGCCTGCTCCAGTTGTGTCACTGTGACAAATAGCAGTGATTTTTTGGAGCAGTTTTACCTTAGTTGGCGGCCGTACTGCTAATATGTTAATGCTACATCGCAAAATGGCATAGTGGCAGTCCGCATTCACGGCTGAGAGAGATGCTCCACTTTCCAGCCTGCCCTCTGCAGTAGCAGTTTAGCAGTTTCCATTTGGTGTGACCATAATGCGATTTATAATATTATTATTTCATTTACATCACTTAGCTCGAGTTTTGTCCGCGCTGCGTCGGTCGGAGCTTGAACGGGCAGTGACAAAATGTCACTGCTACATGACTGGGACTGGAGCAGGTCGTGACTGTGACAGACGAGTAGCAGTGAAAAAGTCACAGTTCGTGAAATCGCAACCCACCTCTATCTAGATAGGCCCTAGGATCAAGCGGCTGATGAATACTAGCGGCTAGATTGGATGCAATGTTACAGTAAAAGTGGTTAAGATCATTAGCCTTTAACTTGCTCATAACTACCTTTTTATTATTATTATTCCCCAATAAGTCACTAACAATCCTCCACGATTCTTTGGATTTGTTGGAGGAATTTTTGATTCTATCACGGTAATACATCTCTTTAGCCTGTCTTATGGAATACGAGCATTACAAGAATCGTTTAATTCGAATTCATTTACCTTGTACATCTCGAAGTCTTCATTAGAACATATCACAAAAGTTGATCTTCAACAAGAGAAAATACAGCAATATCATGAGACTAAAACCTCTCATAGAGGAATCACTGAAAATGTTGCAGCCTTAAAGAAAAGATTCTATTGGCCCACTATCAAGAAAGACGTACAGAATTATGTCAAAGTATGCGAGATATGCAATAAAACCAAGTATGAACCATAGAAAATCATATTTAAACAAACACTCATTGGTACGGAACTTTTTGAACATATTCATATTGACACATATATAATCAATAACCAGGAATTTCTGACCATAATTGATAGCTTTTCAAAATTTGATCGAGCCTCTCCTGTAAATACGAAAACAGCTGTAGAGATAATATCACAGTTATTGAAATATTTTAGTGATCACGGAATACCTCAAAAAATCACAACAGATAATGGAGCAGAGTTCAAAAATGCTATAATGACAGATCTTTGTACATACATTATACAAAATTGAGTTTCATGACACAACTCCAATAATCCAAACTGGAATAGTCCAATCGAAAGATTCCATTCGACACTAAGTGAAAGTATAACGAGTTTGAACCTCCAAAATCCGAATAAGAGTATTATTTTATTATTTATCTAACGACAATCGCTATATGGAATTATAACAACAGTACTTTTAGTGTTAGGTTGTTGTTGTATGTGAGTATATGTCCTTTTTTTTAGCATGTAGGCGTATTTTTGTTTTGGTTGCAATTTTTATTTTGTGATCCCTTACATGTAATTACTTTCTAAGTGTTTGCAAGGTGTACCTGATAAATAAATAAATAATTAAATAAATACATTTGGCAGAATCCCTTGCAAATTTGAATAAAGAAATTCAAGAAAAATTGTTAGCAAAACAAAGTCTTTAGAATCACGCAATAAAAATCGTGAACCTGAACCAGAATTAAAAGATCCAATCTTTATAAAGCAATTTAATAGAGACAAGATAAGTCCGCTTTATGATAGCAAAATACAGAATCACTTTGCTAAACAAAATGTTAAACGATAATAATTTATTTCAGGTACTCCGAGATGAATCCTTTAGTATTTCTTACCCTCGTTGGAGTCACCCAAGCGTATACATTGATGACGGTAGAAAATCCTATCTTACCAATTTCTTTTGGAACTACTTACGTAACAACTCAACATAACACAGCCTATTATCACATTAATACGACAATTATCATACAAAGTATCCATAAATTAGAGATAACTTTAATGAAATTATCTGACACACTAAATAAAACGACATGGTCAAACCAATTTGTTACATATTGTTTCAAACAAATATCGAAACCAGTTATTCTCAAATAAGGATCATGGAACAAGTTATAAAACCTATTAAGACCGAAAACGAAACAAAAGAGGTGTATTAAATTTCACAGCACAACACAAAAATAGCTCTATGGAACCAGATGCTGACGACGGCGCAAGATATGATTATTATATCAAGACGCTCAATGATAATCAAAAGACTCTCAATGAAGATCTAAAAACACAAGCTCAAGTATTGAATTAATTTACAAAAACATTTCACGATCAATTTTTAACTATTGAATCTAACCAAAAAGTTATCACAGGAAAATTACAAAATATTTCCTTGGAAAACCAAAATTTCCACTCAATGTTAACTTTCAATCTAATATTGAACAATAACAATATTCAAAGTAATAAAATAAGGAATCATATTGATCATGTGCAATTAGCAATAAATTTTGCACAATTGGGAATAATGCATTACAACTACTATTTTACAGCATAATCAATTAAATTAAATAGTAACAAATATACCCAAAAGTCAACAAATAGCTTTTGATAATAAAATCAAGTACGCTGAGTCTAGCCTCCCGGCACCCGTATTCATATAAATCCCAGTTATGATGCGTTTTCAATGACGTCATCAACAACCACCAGGGCAATGATTTTTTAAATAATATTGACATGGCAAATTATTGCTATGATTATTTTGTGAATGTTGGAGTAAACATGCTAGAAAAAATAAACAGCCCTGTTGATGGATTCCAGTTGCGAGAATGTTTTTAATATGGCTTTTATCATTAGTAATGTTTTAACTTGTTGAAAAAAAATTGCGACATTTTAAAGTTGTGTTAAATATCATTGCAACAAACATGAATTTTGTGATTCCATAAAAAATTAAACATCCAAGTTGCCTAATTTTACAAATATGCTTGAATTTGAACTAAGTTATGTAAAATTGATTTGATTTTAAATAATTTTTGAAAGTATTAAGGGCGGAAATAAAAAAAAATAAAAAAAAAATAGAAATTATAGATTTTTTACGAAAAAAAATTAAAAAAATCTTAGGAATCTATGTTTTGGTATTTAGGCATAACTTTTAATTCCAAACAACTGTTCCCTCGACTGTTCTCTATAACATTTCGCGGAATTTTCTAAAATAAGGGAACTTTACACTTTACAGTACAGCTTTGATATTGTTTGAGCTACTCTGTATTCTGTATATGTTGTAAACGCACTGGGTGTTTGGTATCTGGCGGGTGGTAAGTAGTATGAATGTTGGCATCGATTTAGTATAAAAAAAAGTTATTACAGAAATACATTGTTGATTGTTGATTGTTCTAGATTTACATCTTAGGGACATACAGATAAATCGATCTACTATTATGCCTTTGTTTGTTTGTTTATTTATTTTTTTTTCTGGAGAAAAACATGCATGGGGATTAGTATAACATTTAGTAGGTAAATACATATTAATTATATTTTTCCTGCACATACAGGGGTTTGGTCCCCTAGGTGCAATATTTAAACCTTCGAAAAAGAATCCGAATCAAATTTTTCAGTTTTATTGCGAATTTTGATTATCAAACAAGTTTTAAAAATACTTGCCTTTCGTAATATTATTAGTTTTTGTAGTTTCTAGAGTTAGGTAACTGTATAAGTGGGCAAAGCTCTTCAGTTGAGGTGTTGTTTGTAGTATAACTTGTACTGTGTATCAGAGCTGGGAGTAACGACAAAAAAAAGTTACTTTACTTTAACGAGTTACTGAAAGTAACGCGTTACTTGGTAACTTCGTTACTTTTCAGATTGATTGATAAGTAACTGTAACGACGTTACTTTCTTGAAGTAACGCTGGAAGTAACGCGTTACTAGTTACTATGAAAGTAACACGTTCTCTCAATTTGTTTATCTTCTTTACAAATAATTGACGAGTGAGGAAAAGGAAAATAAGTAATCCAAAAACTTTGTATGTCAAATAAAATGTTGGTAATACAGAAAGTTTGTTTTGAAAGCTCAAAATAATCGTTTTTGAATGTGCCATGCGCCGCCTCTGCTCTAAAGACACTATATGCAGACACTGGGACGCTTCAAAGAGGGGTTTGTCCAAAACCAAATACTCTATTCAGTCGCTTAATCCTTAATCCGTTTGAATTTTGCAAGAATACTCTTCCACATAGTCGGACTCACAAACTAAAAACATATTGGCATTTCGTATAGGTGTTATTTGCCTGTTTGGACTGCTGTGTTGGTGAGTCTAATTAAGGAATAACGCAATTTTCTATGTAAATAGTTATTTTTGGAGTAACGCGTTACTTTAAAAGTAACGAACTACTTTTAAAGTAAAGAAATTACTTTCAAAGTAAAGAAGTTACAGTAACGCGTTACTTTCCAATAAGTAACGAAAATAAAGTTATCATTATTCGAAAGTAACTGTTAATTTTAAGTAACGAGTTATTTTTAAGCAAAAGTAACTGTAAAGTAACGCGTTACTTTTTTCAAGTAACTATCCCAGCTCTGCTGTGTATTTAAATCATGAACTAATACAAGACTGCATACACAGAGCCATGAAGCCTGTTGTGCAGTCCAAACCTTATTACTAATGTTAAACAATTAGTGAAAACAATTAAGTTTATTCTAAGTATTTAGGTATTCCTAGAAAACAATCCATCAGGAAAGTAAAGTTTGTATGCCTCTTGACATGTCTGCAGAGGTCAAATAAGAAGAGCATTTGTTCCCAGCCCTGTTTTCATAAATTTGTAGTTTCTGTTGCCAGAGACAAGAAAATAGCACAGCTTTAGGTACTTTAGAAACTTTCCTGATGAATCATGTTTGAATAGCCCACCTCTAAGATATATTTAAATTGGTTATTTACCCGCAAGCAACAAAGTTACCAGATGGAGCATAGGCACAGGCCATCACCCAAGTGGTAGGCATAGTGACTGCATGCTCTTTGTTTGTAGTATGGGCGTCCCAGATGATCATTTTACCATCCTAGGTATTAAAGTGCAACAAGAGTTATTTAAGCAAAAAAATATACAATAAACTTGAAATAAAGAAAGTCTACAACTTCCTTTATCAAGTAAGTGGATAAAGGATTAACGTGCCTTTTAATACATTATAAATTCGTACCTGGGATGAAGATACAATGTGTTTTTTGTCTGGAGACCAATCTGAACACAAAACCTTCGCCTGGTGGCCCTTTAGAGTTCGCCTGGGTTTGATATTGGGGCAACTGACGCAGTCCAGCCTTTCAGCAACTTGTTCCACTTAAAAAACAGTGAAATTTACTTTAGTTTCTCATAAAAAAAAACAAAAACACAACATACAAGTAACATCGTTGAGTTTCTGGCGTTCCTCTTCCAAACGTTTTTTCAAGATTTCAGCTTCTTTTTGCAGAGTTTCCACGGTGTCCGAGGCTTGGGACTTGCTGTCGCTATCCATGTTTGGCTCTAATAAATCTGTTTTTTTTTAATAATGAAAATAGAAAATTAGTAAATTTAAATAAACTTGTACTTGTTTACAGAAATCAATAACAGCCATGCCATGCCATCATGAAGACATGAAACTTCACCCTTCACCGATAAAATTTGAATCGGAAAATCAAAATAATTTTTGTTGAGGTTAGGATTGTTGAAAGATCACGAAAACGAATCGCTTTCGTGTACATACCAAATACAAAATCGAGACCGAAAGCGCCTAAAGCAGGACGCGCACTGAATCGACTCGGACCGGTCGACTTGGCGAAGAGCATTCGGTAGTTTTTGATACTCATGCAATTAAATGAGACTCCGCGCACGGCATCGGACTCGTCGACTCGACGTGGTCGACTCGAGTCTCATTTAATTGCATGAGTATCAAAAACTACCGAATGCTCTTCGCCGAGTCGACCGGTCCGAGTCGATTCAGTGCGCGTCCTGCTTTATCCGAGCCGCATTCTTTCGCAATATATTTGAATCATGATTCCGAGATCCTGATCCGTTTTTCAATTGGAACATGTTCTAATTTTAATGTCCGAAAGAACGCTGTCCAGATTTTCGTGATCGGAACAAACTAATCACAAAAACAAATAAATGTTCAATTTGTTCAGAATTTATCGGATCATGATTTGCTAACTGTCAAATATCAAAATGCGAAAGAACGTGATTACTGGAACACTGGAACATAACGCGTTTTGATCAACTGATCCGGTCCGAAAGAATATGCGGCTCCGATATCGTATTGTCAATTGCAATCCGGGCCTGCGGATCCATTATTTCGGAAACAGAACTAACTCCACATAGTTTACTAATCCTTGAACAGCTGATACAGATCGAACTGATCCTAGATCAGTATTTCCGTAAGCAGCTTTTAATAAACGAACGTGAATGAGCCCTGACCAAGTAGACTTTTTAAATAAATGAACGGTAAATTTATGCTCGGAGAACTCGGATTAAAATACCGAACGCACAGATAATAGGCAAATAGAAAGATGCAAACGAGATCTTAAAAAATAGTTGTTTAAAGCCGGGTCCAAACTATGTAACTAAACATGTTAATAACAAACAAATTTGTTGTACAACTGTGTTACCGACCTCTGATGGATAACATAAAACATTCTATATAATCAGCAAAATGTTGTACAACAGTGTATTTTAAAACCTTTTAATTTAAAATTCTCTAACAAGTTATAAAACTTTGTGATTGAACATGTTTTGTTACATAAGCCGCTTTCCAGCTGACGCTTTTGAGCACGCAATCGAGCTTTTGCGCACGCAAATGCTTCAAGCGCGTGTTCGTGTTCCAGCCGTACTGCGCTTCGAGAGCTGCTAACTTTTGCGTTTCAAACACAGAACCCTGTGCTGCACCGTGCTTGAAGCACACAGCTAGAAAGCGTCTATAGTAGTCTGGATCCGGCTTTAGAATGCTAATTAGAGCCGCTTTCCAGCTGTGTGCTTCAAGCACGGTGCAGCACAGTGTTCTGTGTTTGAAACGCAAAATTTAGCAGCTTTCGAATCGCAGTACGGCTGGAACACGAACATGCGCTTGAAGCATTTGCGCGCGCAAAAGCTCGATTGCGCGTGCAAAAGCTCGATTGCGTGCTCAAAAGCGTCAGCTGGAAAGCGGCTTAGGTATGTTCCGTATATATTATATTTTAACCAACTTCTTGGTTTGGTGTCCCAAATATATCAGTTCCTGAAAAAGGGACATCGTTTTCCTGGAAGCTGATAATTTATCTGTCACCAAACAAAATAACCAACGTCGCAACTCGCATCCGCTTGTTACCGACTGGCAGAGCCGTAACCAGACCTGCACTGGAACCCCAAACGATCGCTATCGATAAGTTCTCGACAATTTCCCCTCATTTCTCACCTCGTCCACCCATCGCTCAACGTTAGGGTCCAAAATTGCCACCACAAACGAACATTTACGGTGCAAACGAACGTTTGTGGTGGCAATTTTGGCGACTAACGTTGAGCGATGGGTGGACGAGGTGAGAACTTGTCGAGAACTTATCGATAGCGATTGTTCGTGGTTCCGCCTCTCTGAGCCGCTTTCCAGTATGCACATTGGCGCGCTCTAGAGCACCTCGGGGGCGCCACGCACTAGATTTGTACCGTTCCAGTATCATGGCGTGAGACGCCTGTCTTGGCCGGTATTATAAAACACTGAACCGATGGGTGAGTTTCAACCTTCGGTTGAGTCCATGCAAATTGATAAGCCTAGTCTCCATGGACGCGAAATCGCGAATTTTTTTTTGCGGATATTTTCCGATTGGTTGGAATTTGACATTTAACATTTGATTTTTTTATGGCGGGAAAAATTCGCGAATTTTTTAACTTCTTGCGGCGTCGCAAAAAAGTTAACTATTTTTTAACTTTCCGCGAAATTTCGCCAAAAAAAAATGAGGTTATGTGGTGTTACTTTCAGTTTAGTTTTGTTTATGTTTTTGTCGGTATGTGCTCTGTTCTCTGTGAGTCGTTGATGTGTTTTATACTTGTAGATACCTAATAAAGAATGGATACTGCCAAAGAATTGAATATTGTAGACCCGAAAACAGACATAAATTACAGCTTGCTGGTTGATGAGGAAGATTATAATAGGGCCTTAAATGTAATTAAGACAACACCAAGACACATATCTTTTTTTGTTTTTTAGTAATCACTTTCATGGTTTTCAAAGATTAGTGTTTGAAATTCAAAGCATTTAAATCGAATTCAAATTGATTACAAACAACAACACATAGGTAACCTTAACCTGTTAAATAAAACGCGAATTTCGCGCTTATGGAGACATGGGAATAATTTGCTCGGAAATAGCCACCAAAAAATGACACTTAAAAAATTCGCTTTCCGCGATTTCGCGTCTATGGAGACTAGGCTATATAGGGTTCAACCGAAGGTTGAAACTCAACCATCGGTTAAGTGTTTTTTAATACCGGCCCTTAGTGTCCTAGTAGCTGTATTCCTTTCAAGAGTTTCAAGCACTTGAGCTACTCGCTCCGGTGTTTAGTCGCCCCCGATTTGCAGGGAACAGATGCATGGTGTAGCAAACACTTTTCGAAAGGAATAAGTGCATGAAGCCCCGGAACTGATCCGGAGCTCCTCCTAGGTGTGAAAGGAATACAACTAGTGTCAAATTTTAAAAATAATTATCTGTGTTTGTGCAGTTTGTTTTTTTATTTATCAAAAATGAAAGAGAATCAAAACTATAGGCGATTTTCAGCCTGGAATGATTATTATTTGTTTATAACCAATGCATTTCCGCCGTCGTGGTTTTAACCAAAGTAGGGGAAGTTGTGACGTCACATATCAGCTGATTTGCTTTTGGTATTTACCATTTATAACCGATTATAACCCAGCTTTGGACTTGGGTTAATCTTTTGGTTACAGCTTTTTGATGTTATTGTTATTATTTTTGAAATTTGTATTGGTGTTTTGTGATTTTGCAGTTGCGTTGTAGCCTGGCACAATGAAAGAAGTAAACATTCACTCACTCACTGCAATTCACCATGTTTAGATCGAGGTTTAGATCATCCCCAAAGAAAATCTGTTCGATAAACGAGACTAACGAGAGATTCAGCTCCATTTTCTGTACAAAAAACTATTGTTGAAACGAAAAAACAAATAAGAATAATAAACATAATCCTACACTGCTATAACCAAATCATTTCAGCGGTCAGTTCCTTGGGTTATGATTCTTGAATGGTGGGAGGCTATGACGTCACACTTGGCTGTCAAAGTTGTCAACCAAAAGAATAACCACGGTATTTACCGATAAATAATCATTCCAGGCTAAAAATCGCCTTATATTTTTTAAAATGTTCAATCTTGAGATATAACAAGAAATAAATAGATAAATACCCTGCGTTTTTATTCTCATCAAATTTTACCGATGGATCCACCATTCTATGTCGGTCATTGTCATTTTCCATTCACTAAACAAAGATAGCTAACTCATCGGTGAATCCACCGATGAGAATAAAAACAAAGGTCTGTTCCCATAGGAGTCTCCGACAGTTTGCAACCTGTCAGAAACAATCGCTCAGCTGAGTTACAGATTGATCTTGGAACGACAGCATTGAAAACATGTATGGGCGATTCTTACTTACAGTTTGCAAACTGTCAGAGACTCCTGTGGGAACAGACCCATAGCCACCCACGGATGTGACAGCTGATAGGTTGACGCGTACGTACAGCTCGGGGGCTCAACGCCCCGAGTAGCTCCCATACTGGAAAGCGGCTCTGTTTGCGCCTGTGGCAGGTTAATCATTTGCGCCCCCGCCCCATATCTAATGTTACACAAATACTGATATTTGAAATTTTATAGTTAAACAAGAAAAGTAGGTAACTGATATAAAAATTCCTGTTTCATTTGACATTAGTAAAATATCAAGCATCAAAAACTCAAAATGTAAAGTATCACTGAAATAACATAACATAGGTATTATTATGTAATAGCAACAAACACGTAAGTAAAGGAACAGAAAAAATAGGAACAAAAAGCGTGATGAAACTACTAGAAAACGTGGAACACCCAGGACCCTAAATTATCTTTTTTTAGATATTAAACTATGCAAATACGTCGATAATTTCGTCATAATTTAAAGTAAGTGAAATCGATTTTGCAATTGTAAATATTGCTACATTTGTTAATTATTCCTGTCCTAAAGTGGAACTAGAATAAGACATTGACTATACAGACAGAACCCAGGCTACTAGATACATAGCCACGTCACTGCATATTAAGCTGCATATGTTATTAAAATTCGTGCAGCTTGGCACTCGGCTTTGGCAGCACAGATCCGCTGGAGACCGGAAATAGGAGCTAATTCGTCTTATTATTCCGTAGGTGTTTAGTAGATTGGTCTAGTCTATGTACAGGGTGTCCCACTAAGGTCGACGAGGTACGTTATTATGGAAACCATAGGCCTTACGGCATCGGGATTTTTTTTTTCTTCACTAAATCGGCCAAGAGAAATTGATAGAAAATATTTTCAAGTTTCTAAGATGGCCGCTATGGGGCGCAATCACGATGATATAACTAAAAATTCAAATTTTCTCGAAAAATCGCTATATTAAGGTACTGTTTTAACAACAGAAATCAAAAGTTCGTTAATTTTTGCGCCAGTTTGCTTATTAGCCTTTTTTCGTATCTTCACTAATAAGGGTGGGGGAAGCTGGTGAAGAAATAGTTTTAAAAATTGCTGTATCTTCCATACCCCTTATCCAAACTCATTCAATTCGGGCTTATTCGAAAGAGAATTTCATTGTTATTA